AATGTGGGTGTGGGTGACTCACTGCTCTTTGGGGGCAAAGGGTGCGACAAACACGCGCGTCACCGCTTCAAAAGTCATCGTGTGTAGTGTCAATGGTAGAGAGTGACTATATATTCCACTCTATTATTTCGCCGCTAGAGCTTCACACTCTGGGAACTGGAACATTGTCCGCTCAAAGAATACAGGACGATGTCTTGTTTTGTATATATATATATATATATATATATATATATATATATATATATATATATATATATATATATATATATATATATATATATATATATATATATATATATATATGTACATATCACATAAATCATCTCATAACCATTTAGATTTATCTTACAACCTGTTGACCACTGGACTAAAAACTGTGTTAAAACAGTCACAGCCGAATAAAATGTTCCTTTTCAGGCTTCAGGAGCTTTTACGTAATGCAGTATTTTGCAGTATTAATTGGTAGTTTTAAGAATAGAAATATTTCTTTCTCAGAATGTATTTGTAAAGCAATAGATAAAAAGACCTTGGCATGTCTTACGTTCCTCTGGGTTATACCTGTGCGATGCACTGACAGAGAAACAGTGAATTGATCATTAAAGACTGTTTTCATTTGCAGTTGCAGCCAACAGAGTTAAAAACCTTTTCAACCGTTCATTTCATCCTGTTTTGTTTCTTTTTTGTGTATATTTTTCACATGTCAGTCATTTATTTAAAGTAAACTTACGTTTGATTTTAGTCTTGATGAAAAAAATGTGATTTTAAAGTAAAACACAACGTGAAGACGCCTCAATGTGACTCACATCGCAGCTCCCAGATTACAACAGTCATTTGGTTTACTTGATCATAACGTCACAATTCCCTCAGCACCATCAATGTTAAAGTTCTCCAACTTTTAAAGTTCGTGAGTGTGCTCTCAGTAGCAGCTACAACTTTTAATAAATATTGAAATAACAGAGAATAATTGCAGACCTCCAGCATCCAGCACCGTCACCATCACATCATTATCGTAAAGTTCAGCCAGAGCCACATGGGCTTTTTACGGTACCTTGGGCTTTGAGTTTGCCGGATGTTCAGTGATAACCTTCGGTCCCTTCAAAGGCCCTGGGAAACGCACCGTCACCATGGAAACGCGCATGCAACTCCCTCGTTAAGTCCTCGGCGGCCCCAGCTGACGGCTGGGAACATGCGATGGAGGCGACGCACAAAGCGCACACAGCGAATGTGGTTAAGCCGGATCGCAAGCCGCTTCCAAAAATACACAGAACCTCCCCCACCGGAGAAAGTGGGAGGAAACCAGTAAACAGATCAACAGATCTTTGGAGTCTTGTTGTTGTTGTTAATGTCAAAGTTGCTCTTGGTGATGTTGTCCAGGATAATTCTCAGGTGGACGTTTCTGACGGAGAGAGAAAGAGACGTAAAGACAGAGACGGGAGAAGTGGGTTGACCTACTGGGAGTCACCCTCCCCCCTCCGAGGGAGTCAGAAATAGAGAGAGATGGGGGGGGGGGGGGGGGGGGGGGGGGGGGGCAGGAGGTACAGGAGCAAAAGATCACGGGGTGGGGAGGAGAAGAAGAATGAAGTGACGAGAGTCTCTTGGTAAAACCGAGCTCATTAATCACGTTATAACGATGCAGGCTGATAACAGCAGATGTTGCATCTGTGATTCTCCCCTGAGAGGCTCACAACACCATCTCCGACCCCACCGACTGACCCCCCACCACCGCGTATACAGGCACCGTCGTGGATTTTATTTCATTTATTAAGGCATGACAATGTCAATATTAAACCATAGGAACCAGAGACCCAGATGTCCTCACTTTGTGTCCCGCGTCTTCACGCTTCTTCTCCTCGCACCTCCTTCAGTGGACACGTCTTCACGCTTTAGTGCGCGCCGCTGAGGAGGGAATCGGCGAATTAATCACTAGTTGAGCCCCGTGCGAGTTCTGAAGTCCTGTCAGAACCTGTTTTGGAGGCCCGGTTTAAGCGCAGTGGGAAGGGGAAACCGGACCCCCGGTCTTGGCCTGCAGAGGCTATAATTAGAGACGCAGACAGCAGCTGGTGGAAGGGGCTGCAGTATATTTAGGGCGCGGAGAAGAGGGCCGAGGGCTGGAGGACACAAGCACACACCAACCCACGCACGCAAAAACAGCATTATTTACATCTTCTTTTGACTTTGCTAAAAAAAAACTGCCCCTTATCTGCAAATCTGAACCGAATCCTCATTGGATTTTCTCCATTAGTCTCAAAATCCAACTTAAAAAATTCCTTTTTTCGTTTTTAGCGTGATGCTGACATCAAGATGACGTCGTCAGAACTCTGAATGTTAACGAAAGTCAAAGTTTTTCAAAAGTGTAAATTAACGAGATTTTCCGTGTGACTGATGTGAGAGGACGGCGAAGGGGGAGAGAAGGTTGGTTTGTGGCTGTCAGGGTGGGAGATGTTGCACCTCTGTTGCTGTTGTCGTCTCGTGACGTTCGTTAACACAATCAAACTTCCCCATTTGATTGTGTCTATGCAGCCAAATCGTTACCAGCTTGCAGAAACTTCTTTTTTCAAGTGTAGAAATCAGAACGTTTGGCTGCGATTTCTGTTAAATGAATGATTCTGCGTCGGCCTTCATGTTTCCCTTTGCGGGCTGAAGGCGCCCGAGGCTCCGGCTACCAGAGGACGGCGAGGACATCGGGTCTGTGATTAACAACGGAGGTGTAGAACAACAGAGTCACACCCCCCCCCCATGAATCTCTGTCTCTCGCCAAGACCCTCTGCTTCTTCATCGCTGACCCCCCCCCCCCCCTCCTCCTCCTCCCCCCTCGTGCCTCACCCGCCATGCCTCTCTAACTTTCTGTCCTCCTTCCGCTCTCACCTCTTTCTCCCTCTTAACCTTCTGTACTTCCTGCCTCTCCCTCCCCCCTCCCCCCCCCCCCCTCCCCTCCCCTACCTCTCGCTGTCCTGCGCCATCTTTGTTTCTCTCCCTCCCCAAACACACTCGATTCTTCTTATTAAATTAGTAATAATGTCACCACTCTCCCTCCCAGGAGGCCGGTGTTATTGACTTCATTATGCAAATGTGAACCAGCCCACAGCGATACTACTGATGGGATAAGACACACACACACACACACACACACACACACACACACACACACACACACACGCGCGCTGTTTGTAGTCTGGGTGGCAAGGAAACATTTTTTGCTGTTTCAGATAATTGTGTCAACCGGTGGAGTTGATGTGTGTGTTAACACGGGCCTGCAGGCTTGTTAGTATAGAACACAATAGTATAGAGCACAATAGTATAGAGCACAATAGTATAGAACACAATAGTATAGAGCAGCAGACGACTGGCAGCAATGTCAGAATAAGGGTGGACTTTTGAAGACGAGTTTGTCTCCGCGCGCTGTCTCTCTGTCTTAGTGCCCTTGGGCGAGGCAGCTCTTCGGAGGAGACGGGCGGGACGGGAGTGCCGTCCAGGTGGATGCATCCCCCCCCCCCCCCCACGTACCTGAGCGGCCCGCGCGCCCTTTGGGGTCATTTGGGCATCGCGGCTCGGCCCGGGGGAGCGGCATCGCTCTCGCCTCGACTCTGATCCGTCGCCCTTTCTGGCGCTCGCCGCTCGGCCGAACCGCGGCGTCGTGGCGCAAGTTCACAGACCTGGAAACGTATTGGAGACACACACACACGCACACACACACACACACACACTCATACACAGACATACACACTTGCAAACCCAGAATTGGCAGAGGGATACCAGACAGATGGAAGGACAGCAGCGAGTAGAGAGGAAGTGGAAATTAAATTCACAGTGTCAGGATGAACAATTAAAGAGATCAACTGACACGCTGACGGGCAGATATCAGATCAGTTATCGTCTAAACACTCTTTTTATTACGTTAAACCTAACTGTAAATCCCAGACCGCCGTGGCTGATTGCTTTTCATTAAACAGTTACGTTTACATGGTTTCATGTAACAAACGCACAAACAATGCAGCAATATTTTGGCGATGAATAATCAATCATGCGACAAACGGTGTCAGCAGTATTTAGCAGAATGAATGTACCCTGTCGAACCCGGTGAGAAGCCACGCTTGAACATGGGGGTGATTGTTAACATCTGGATGTCACCTCTGATTGCGGAACAGCTGTAGTGGGAATTGGTTGCAGCGTTTCAGTAAAATCAGTTTCACGTGAGAAGCCGACATGTTGTTTCCTGCAAAAACCGACACCATGGATGCTGCGTTTGCCCGACTGACACGAGATGAAGCCTCAGACTGGCGTTAGCGGCGGGGCGCCGCGCGCCAGACGCCTCATGCATTTTTAACCAATCAACATCCCCGTTTCTACATCTCCTTCACCTTCTGTCTGCCGCTCCACTTTCCTCTCTCTGCTTTTTACTTTCTTTCTGCCACCTAGTTACCAATGCTTAGTTAGTTAGCTTTAGCTTTAGTTTATTTGTTTTTACGTTCAGTGATGTTGGTCAATTTCTAGTGGAACAGAAATACAGGGAAGTGAATGTAACTTTGTTTTGTACTCAAGTAACTCGCTGTAACATTTCTACTTCCCTCAAATGACGTCTTTGTTTCTTCAGTTTACTGAATTATAAAAAGCTTTTTAAAATGACGTATCTTGTGGAGGTGAATGCATTTCTGAATAACCATAATAATTGTTTTAAACACTAAATTTATTCTCATTCTCATCCTGTAATGATGAATATCAGATGTTTCTCACTCAAAACCTGACTTCAGCCAACACGGGGCACAGTTTATTGAAGATACCAAAACTACTTCTACTACTACTACTACTACTACTACTACTACTACTACTTCTAAATAGCACCAACTCAAACGGTTAATAATAACAATAGCAATTACATATTTATTTTCCTGTTGCAGCAGCCAATGCACACATGTTGCTGTGTCATCCGGTGACTTTGTCCGTTAGAGCGCCTGCTTGTTGGAACATATTGCGGCACAGCGTGCGTGTGTGTGTGTGTGTGTGTGTGTGTGTGTGTGAGTCTAAAGTGTGTGCGCGCACACGAGGGGGCTCAGAAACATAATCCCCCACAGGACACAGAAACACGTTCAGTCGGCCTGTATTCGTCGTCTCAGAGGGGGGACTTATGAAAGATGAAATGGTCCTGTGATCTATTGATACCGGGTCCATGCGGGGACACCGCCGAGGCTGCAGGGAACTGTAACAATGCACGGAAGCACGATAAAGAAACCTGCACCTAGAAATAGCATTTGTTTGCATGGTTCACCCTTGAAATGATCCATTTTTACCTCTTTACACATTTATATTTCATGCAACTTTTGCAGAAACAAACAAAACAAAAAACTATGGGGAACATCTTGATTAAATAAAGATTCATATTATTTAAAGATTTCCATCAAAAACAGAAATAAATCTGGTTTGAATGTAAATCAGACGCAGCTAATAAGCTTGGTAGCAATATATTTTCAATGCATAGAGGAAATCATTTGTGTATAAGTGAAGATTCAGTCGGTAACAAACGTGGACGTTGTCTGTCCTTGAGAACGTTTCAAACACAGAATTAAATGTATTGCATAGTTTGACCCGCGGCTGAATTAGATAATGACACATAAAGCTTTTTTGTGATTTACTTCATACGTTTACGCTCCGTTCTTGATAAATATATGACATACGGACTGAATTGTATTGAGCTCCCATGAGCTACTGCTGCAATATCCTGGTCTAATAGCGCAGTTCTGCCCCCAGCTACACACACATGACAGAGTATATGCACACACACACACACACACACACACACACACACACACACACACACACACACACACACACACACAGGGCCGGCCTCTAAAAAAGTAAAAAACGCTTTCTGAGACAGGGAGCACAAATAAAACTGAATTAGTGTGTGATTCATTGCATAAAAGTCCATATCTGCACGGTAGAGACAAAAACCACACACACACACACACACACACACACACACACACACACACACATTCTGGCTCTGCTTTGATTTTGAATGGAAACCTAGAAGCACTCTATTTACCCATGATGTGTTTTTGGCCGGCTGACATTGACATTAAAATGGATTTGTCAAGGAAGCGGTTGTGTTTAGTGCTGCTGCTTCTGCTTCTGTCGTTTTACTGTATTTTATGTCCCTGTTTACCTTGAAAAATTTGAAATAAACAAAAATCTTCAGGGGCTTTAATAAAGTGGACTAAATTGTTTCACTCTGAAGCCCAAATAAATGACTTTTTGATTCCCGGATAAAAAAGAATAAAAGGACCTTTTGTTTCTCACTATTGAGTTCTGCGTAAACACAGTCGGTGGCGGCGGAAAACAGACGGATGCTTTCTGTTATAATGCTGCAGTAATCACAGGGGCGACGACACCTTGTCTGTTGGATCTCTTGAACGCAAACGAAATTATTATAATTGGAAAATGAATGAGTATCATTTGAAGACGCTTGAAGCAATACATCCCCATGATTATAGATTGCATTCTTTAAAATGACAGGTTAAATGGGACGTTAACAAAGTGCATTACTATGGTGATTGTGTGAATCAGCGATGGGGTGGAGGAGTGTTTTCCTCCGTTTCATCCCTGACAAGGTAAAAGTGTCTTACTTTCAGCACCGAACCCTGGCAGGTATTTTTCCTGACATGGAGAAGTTTCATTTGACCCTTGATGAATGTTCTGTGGAAACCGGCAGCTGTGAAAAGAATCTTCAAAATCTCTCCAGCAAATGTGCGTCTGCACGTGTCGGGTTCAGGCTGCCGTGTTCACTCTGGAGAGCATCCGTGTATTAAAATAGGAGTGCGTGAGGTACCGAGGAGGCCACAGTCAGGACGTACTGTTGGCGAAGGGAAGAGATGTTTCAGAGCCACTTTTGCATTTTCAATTTTAACAGGGATTTGACTCACATCTCCAAAGTAACACTGGGTCACGCTGCTTTGTGCAAAGGGAAAGTGGTCTCAAGAGTCGGCGATGAGACCACTGTGCGCTTCTCCTCGCCTCTGTTGTTTGATTAACTCGCTTTCAGCGCATTGTTTTGTTTTCACGTCGCAAAACTCCCATCATTTGTGGACTTTTTTCGTCGTGTTCGGCTTTAAAAGCCCCGATGAACCCATTGTCCACAACCAGCACCAAGCGGCAGCCGGCTAGTAGAGTGAAGCTTTAGTGGAGCTTTCAGCGGCTAAAGAGCCCCTGCGGTCGGTGGAGACCAAAAATAGAGCTAAAAGGAGAGCGAACACAGGACTTTTATTTTCCGAGGGGTCAAATGAATACCGGCGTTGCTCCATGTCGGCGGGGCGTACGAATAAAAGGTGGTATTATGTCATCATTGAGTGGTCTCCGCTGCCTCGGAGTGGATTTAGAAAATCCGTAACTTGGAAGACATTCCTATAATGTTAAAGTTTAGGTTAGTTTGACATTCCGATAACCTCCACACTTCTCTTTGACCGTTATCTTCTACTGTTACATCTAAATCCATCACGCGGAGGAGACCTCGTTCCCATCTATGCGTTACCCTTGACCTCTTTTTCTGTCTCTCTCACTTGGCTTCTTCCTCCATCTCGCTCTGACTCTTGTTTTCACGCTCACTCGTTCTCTGTCATTATCAAATAATATTGAAAGTAAAAAGTTGTTGTGAGGAGGACAGCAGATGGTCCTCAACAGGTGCAGTCACTGCCACATTCATGTGGGCTATTTCCAACTACCTGCCTGCAGATAGGACGACGTGTAGGAGGTGTAGAATGTCGTAAGTGGCAGCTTTGTGTGGTTTCCGTGTGTGTGTGTGTGTGTGTGTGTGTGTGGGCTGAGAAATAGGCTGGCAGCGGCAGCCGTCCTGTGTCGTCTGGTCCAGACAGATAAAGTAAGAAACACACATTCACTCTCAACACCTCCGAACATCGGCCTCGCTCTCTTCGTCAAAATCAGATTGAGATGAGCGTGATTGACAGGGATGTTACGTACGCTGGTGGAGCAGTTAAATTACCCTAAACAATGTGCCTTCGCTGTCAAGTCTCTCTTTGTGAGGGAAAGTGTCGACTCGAGCTAATCAAAAACGTTCAACCTAACATGGACAAGAGTATTTTTTAATGTTTGTAAAAATGTTAGTTAAAGCGTGTGCATGGCAGCTGGACAGCTCCATCTGCCGAGGCAGGTCATGTGACTGAGCGGATCTGCGTCTGTACTTTTTAATCGTGATCGATGCCTCTTGTTTGTGCCTCGACGTGGGGCTAAAGAGCAAGATATAATCTATTAACACTAATTACTTAATACAGCGGAAGGTTTTGGAAAGTTTCTTTTTCAACAACTTATTGGCCGCGAAATTTGATATCATGGGATCCCAACGTTTCTAAAAAGACAAATGAGCGAGAAATGATCCAAATATTGATGGATTCACCACATTGGCACAGTAGCTCTTAAATTAAACGACATGTGGACATGAGTGCTTTTTATCAGCTCTCATTACACATTTTAATACTGATGATTACTTATTTCTCAACACAAGTATTATTATATATTATCTGCAGATTGTTTCCAAGATCAAATTAGGTTCCGCCTAATAAATGTACACAAACACCAGAAGATCCCAAAGCCCAAGAAGACATCTTCAGGCGCCTTGTTTAATCCAACCATCAGTCCCACTAGAAAGGAATTAGCTCTTCTATCATTAAATATTCACGTTTAAGAGTTTGAGGGTCAGTTTATGTATTTTTACCATGATCAAAAGCCTTTAATGGATGATAAAAAAATGACTGCGGATTAACTTTCCGTCAGACGTTAATCAATGAATCCACCTTATGGTGACATGAGCTTTAAAATCAACTCGGATCCACAACTTACTAACAGATTGGCACACAGATGAGACGTGTGATATATACCCCCCCCCCCCGAGCTCGACAGACCTCTGACGGTCAGGGGCCTCCCCCCTCAGGCAGAACGGGGGCCATGGTCCCAGTGGTCGGGGGGGGGGCCCCTGGGCACCGGCCAAATTGGCCCCGTCAGTCACCTTTGTGGGGGAGAGAAGGTTACCACGACAAAAGGGGGACAAAAAAAAAAAAGGGGCGGGCTGGGATGTTAAAAGAGAAACGCAAGGATGAAGGGGGGTAAAAAAAGGCACGGGGGAAGGACGGAAGGGGGGGGGGGAATACCTAGGGAAAAAGAAAAAAAAAAAAAGGGACGGTTGGATGAACGGGGGGGTGGTTTTACAACCCGGCCCCCCCGGGGAATTAACCCTTATAAATTCCGCTTTTACCCAAGATTAGCGGAATAATTAAACTCCAGTGGTTTCGAGTGAGAGTGTCCGTGCACGTGTTGTTTTCTGGGTGTGCGTGCGGGGGGAGGATGGGGGAGGATGGGGGGGGGGGGGGGGACTGGGACAGAAATTGATGGGGTGGGGAAAGACGGGCATTATGTTGTATAACTAAAGACGTGATTGCCTTTAACCCTCTGTGGCCGTTTAAAAGAGGAGGCCTTGTGGGGGGGCGGGGCCCGATGACCCCCTTTTTACCCTTCCCCCCCCCCCCCCCCCCCACCCCAAGACAAACACACACTACTTTTACTTACATTTTCCTTCTGAATTTGTATGTTTTCTAAAACCAGAACAACACCGAGCTAAATGAGGTGTCATTCATGAATGAGACATTCATCCTGTCAAGTGTGAACCCGAAGGATCTTTTCATAATCTTCTTTCCGATGAATAGTTGTGAGCTATTTTTAATGATACTTCATGGCGTTTTTAAATACTCTGCCCCCCCCGTGTTCTGGAGCAGCTGCACACCGACCGAGGCCACGTCTCTCCCCGCCTGTCAGTGCGTCTCAGTGGGTGAAAAGAGCCTCGCCGCTCCCCCGCCGAGCGGAACATCGGCATCATCAAGTCCGCCAGAGGCAGCGGCCACGAGCCCGGAAGTAGGCTGTCAGAGCCTTCAAAATAAGAGGCTTAGAAGCCTGATGTCTGGTGAAGCGAAATAAAGAAATGTTTGTAAATTGTTTTTAACCTACCGAACCTATAAAACGAACATGTAAAACGTATAGGTGAAAATTAATAGTAACAAAGCAGAACAGACAAAAGTAGGTTATACTGTGATTTAACTTGAAAATGTTCTATAAATAAAATCGTTTATTTATACCTCCCTCCCCCTGAAACATGAAGCCCCATGATTTCCAAATCCTGCACAAACTCACTGCTCAAATGCGGGGCAGACCGATTTGGGCAGTTTTGGAGTGCAATAAAATATTAAAATATCCCTCAAAAAATACATAATCAGTTCCAAATATATCAACATAAATGAATATAGAGCATTTTTCTGGACTTCAGCACGCAGTATAAAAAACAAAACGAGATGATTGTTATCTCAACCGATGGCGAGTGTTTCCAGGGTCGTTCCACTTTTATTTTGAAATTCCTGGCCGACATAGCTACACTGTTGCGCGGTGTTTGACTTGACAGATGGTCCCGGTTCCCATTGTCTCACTCGTCGTCCTCTGACTCCCTCGAAGACAAACCTCCCCTCCTCCTCCTCCTCCTCCTCCTCCTCCTCCTCCCCGCGCCGACGGAATAAACTTAGCCGTCATTCCGCACGTTGCGCTTGGAGACTGAAGTCGCTTCTCCATCCGAAATGTGGACATTGCTTTCTGTTTATTTATTTATTTACTCATCTCTTTAGCGGGGCGCAGATGTATCCGCTGTAACGGAGCGACCGGACGGGGAGATGAACCGGAGGAGATGACTTGTTCCCGGTAGACCAGCGAGAGACGTCGGGATCCTCTTCCACATCCCAGCATCCCAACAGCATTTTTACTCAACAAATTAAGAGGATCGGAGTCTCCTGCTGGAGATTTAAATTTAAAACAAAGGAAGAAAAGAAAACGCCGTGTTTTTTGTTCCGGTGTGAATCGGAGGATGTCGCCGCTGCGTCCCCGTTAGTTCCCCCGAGAGGAGCGCGGAGGAGAGGAGAGGAGTCGAGGAGGAGGAGGAGAGGAGAGGAGGCAGCAGGGGCCACTTTCACTTGTTCCCTCCACCCGGCAAACAACATTAGCTTGTTTCAATCAGCCCAATCCAAGTGGTGCCTGATCGGATTATCACACAAAAGAACGTTTAACCTGGAATATCGTCCCGTCTCACGCCACCGTCTCCCCGTGCTGTAGTCATTCCGTGGCAAGGATGCGGCCAATTTACTTGATCGTCGACTTTCTGGTCGGGTAGATGATGATCGGACAAGTGGTCCCTGTTTGGACATAATCAAGGAGACGCTGTAAAGCTCGTTTGATTGGTCGAGGTAGTTACTTTGGGTCGAGAGAACCACACGATCAGAAATCTGACTTCAATCCAGCTCAATCCATCCAAAATGCCCCTCAAACCCCGATTAGTTTCAGACTGCCTTCAGTGACGGGAGCTCGGAAAGGTTTATTCCTACACAAGCCAACGACGGATACATCAACAAAAACATTCTCCCGGACTCGAATCGTCCCCAGGAGTCCATTCTGCGTCTCTTGCTCCCTGACCCCGATGTGCATTGGACCACGTTTACCCGTCAGCGACCCGGCCATCTGAATGAAGTAGTGGCCTTTTATTCTCTCGGGCCCCCGGCGAGCACAGGGGCTGCACTCTGTTCCCCCAGGCCAGAGCAGCCAGAGCCTCCATCTGGGCTGCCAGCCAGCCAGACGGTTCACCGGGGGCGTTTTTGGGGCGGGGGCGGGGGCGGGGGGCGCAGGGGAGGTGTGTGGTGGGAGGGGTTCGGAGGTGGGGTTTGAAGGTCCAGCTGGAGGAGTTTTACCCAAAGCTTCTTCACCACGTGGATCACCGGGGAGAGGAAGGAGGACACCATGGGGTGCTGCAGTGGCAGGTGTACCTTGGCCTTCATATGTGGCATGCAGCTGGTAAGTGTTCATTTCAATTCTTGATCCAAGAGGGGTGGAGGGGGGGGGGGGTTGAATGGGCCGATCAATCAATGAGGTACAGCCAAAGACGAGGAAACACACCATCATACCATGGTGACGGGGCACAGAGCAGGTTATGGGCGCAGAGATGGACGGAAATAACATGGATGACTGAAAGGTCACATTTCAGAAGCTAGTAGGTGTGTGAAAGGTCACCATACAACCTGGGGTCTGGTTCCAGGGGCAAACTGACAAACGGTGGATGGAACGGAGGAATTGCTGCTGGCGGGGGCTCGGTACTAAGCAGTCCATGTAGAACATTGATGGATAGATGGAAGCTTTGGGTGATAAATTAAAGGGGGGTGGATGGCTGGCTAGATGGTAGATAGATGGATGTGATGGGCTGGTGGATGAAAGGTGTCCACAGACAAATGTATCTGTCCTGTTAGGTCCTCACACGTCCACCTAAAGCACAGTGGATTTTATTAGCAAAGAAAACATCGCAGAAAACACTTAAAACATCACAGTCAAGTAAAGCTAACCTGTTAGCACACGACTACTTATTTATGCATTCCTTTGAAGTTGGTTTGTGGCCGATGTTTGGTTTGCACCAGCTAGCCGCTAACCTTTGTCCAGATGCTGTTTCCAGTTTTTAAGCAGGTACATTGGATGTATAGCAGATGTTTGTTTTTTTAACTTGTGTCTCTCAACAACAATAAGTTGTTTGAACAAGTTGCAAACAATAAGTCATTTCGTCCATTATTTTTGGTTTCTTTGATCGCTATCATCAAAAACTCCTTTAACGCGACAGCAGACGAGCGTTCAGAAACGTGTGCAGGGGGTGAAAAGCTGGTGTCCAGAACGGGCCGTTGGTGCGTAAACACCAGCGGAGGAAGTAGTTGGTCACGTCCAGTCGGCGCCAACCGAAGACCACTTTGTCGCGTCGCACAGGACGATGTCACACACGTGACACCCTCCGCGTTTCTGTGTTCAGCCCGTCAGAAATCCCCAATAAGTTACGGGCAGAAACATCAGCGTGTTAGCGAGATTATCTGATGCCTCGTGCATGAAACACACTCGTAGGTGAAGAAGGGAGGGAGAGAGAGATGCTGTCACGGTGAGAGCCATTGGGTCCAATGGGGTGGAACTAATGCTACGCCACAGTCAACACCACGCTCTGCTCTGTTAACCGTGAGAATGGGCTGATGCAGATGTTGAGTTATGATGTCATTGCCGTGGTTGCCCGCGGGGGGGAGGGAGGGGGGGAACCACAGCGGCCACATCCCTCTTTGTTAAAGGAAAAACATAATTGACCACAAATTAAAAGACGGCCTCGTTCGCCGCTCGCTTCTCGGGCGTAATTGTTTTTCGCCGTGTAAAGCTTCCACTTAACAGTTGACCTTGTGTGCGAAAAGGAAAAACAACGGCAGTCAGTGTGTCTCGTGTGGTGGAACGGATGTCTTAACGGTAACACTTAACTGCACTTCCCCCCCCCGCTTCATTAGCCGGGTTAATTGGTGGAGATACGTGATGTCGCTGCGGCTGCGCTGGGATCAGTGACCCCGGCTTGGAGGCGCTGACGTCACAGCGTGTGAGGCACAACCGGCCCCCCAAACCGCAGCTAGTTGGACCACATTAGGCGGATTTAAAATGATGCTTTTCTGTTTGCTTGACGTCACGGACGAAAAGGTTTTAGTTAAAGTGACTTGGTTAAGATGGCTCAGTTAAAGCGACTAAAACGGCTTATTTAATTGGGTTTTATTTGTCAGCTAATTCATAAATCAAACCAATTGTTCATTCAGCAGCATTGTAAAGTCTGCAGGGCCGATCGCAGCCTGACGCGTCTCAGACACACCAGGAAGCCTTGATTGGAGGATCGGCTCAAGTGCTGTAATCATGTGATTCGGTCCTCGCGCCGCGGGATCAAGTCAACAGATTTCTTTCAGATTGGTGAAATGATTTGTTGAGATTTGATTCATAAGTACTGCTTTTAATGGATTTCCTAAAATGTTTCCTTAAATATCTGTATACTTCAAGATATGTAGTTTAACATATAAATGACTCACATATCTAATTTATTGCAGAGTCGATGAGAAGGACCCAACGATTAGGACATGATATGTTGTTTCTTTAATGAACTATTATTTGGCGGGTGCAGCTCTAAATGGAATCTAATCAATCACTGCGCCGGGCCAAGAAATAGTCCCACACAATTAAACCAATAATATACAATATTCATCCTATTGACGTGAGAGCGGAGAGGATAAATCTCCCAATATGTCCCCGTTTTGACAAATAGCAATGGAATTAGTTATTCAGGTCAGAGAGTTTTAACAGTGATGTTGTTTTGCCGAAGATGAAACGCACCCGGTGTCACAGCGCGGTGCGCCGACGAGAGACGGAAATTAGAATGTTGGTACAAAATAAAAGAGTGCAAACAGACGATGGCAGATCAGATGGTGTTTTTACCAGCGTGGTTTTATATAAACATGACACACACACACACACACACACACACGCACACACACACACACACACGCACACACACACACACGCCACTGGTGACTCACTTTCGGTGGCGATGATTGTGTTCCTTGTTGCCATATCGGCCCACACAGCCACCAACCGCTGTCACGGAAACGACTACCACGCCGTCCAATGACGGCAGCCCGTGACCTCGCCCCCCCCCCCACGCCTTCGAGCAGCGCGTCATGGCGATCGGCGGGCGGCTGTGGCGATGACACGCTGGGTTGGCGTTTTATTGATTGCAGTGGGTGGAGCGATGCAGCGTAATGCAGGGATGCGCTGAGATAATACTCATGATGCAGCGAAGGAAACGTCTTCAGACGTGACCCCCAACGTGCAGAGTAGAGCTCCCGTGTTTCGCCCCCCCCCGCGCTCAGAGACAAAGGGTCCCCAGGCTCCCTGAGACCCCGTGGGTGACATTTCCCCCATTGAGGGACATAATGAATAATTTACTGTTGGAAGCTGCGACACGAATGCAGAAACGGAACGTCTGCGCGTGTTTTCCCCGCCTGCAAAACCGTCATGTGCAGTCAATCAAACCAAGAAGTCACTTCAGATGCTTTTCTGTGGGGGGGGGGGGGGGGGATATTAATTCATTTCGGTTCGTCTCCGAAATCAGAATCAATTGTCGATTTGCGTTTAGACATTGGAGCTCTGCAGAAGAAGTTCTCCCACTCATTCTGGTTTTTATCTCCGCTCCTATAGACTCGTATGACATTCTGTCAGTTATTGTGCATCATTTTGAAGCTGATCCACTGAGAGCGCCCTGAGTTGAAAGCGATGGGAGCGCCGGCAACAAAACACAATCTTCAGACCTTCCTCCTCATCGCCACATCTCAGCGAGATAAAAAAGGCTTCGCTATCCTTTATGTGCAACTCCGCTTTCAACAAGAGGCCACACGCGCCCGCTGCTCGCCGCCTATGGATTTTCTGTCACGTTTTCTTTCTCTCAGTCTGTAATTCGTCAGTCCTCTCTCCCCCTCCGGGTCT